CAGCGTACAATCTCAGAAAGTCTCGTGAATCACCAGTCATAATTCAAATCCATCTGCGTGCCTTCTTGTACAACGCACCAGAGAACACCTGGGATGATGTCCTGCCTCAATGTTTGCTAGCGTATCGCTCTTCCGTGCATTCATCCACGGGTTTTTCCCCAGCTTTGCTATTGTTCGGGCATGACCTCCGCCTCCCAGTTGAGATCCAAACACCGCTGCTACCATATGAGAAAATAGACTGCATCCCTTATGTCCGACATCGTCGCCACCACCTGGAGATAGCCTACAACCTGGCGAATCGTCATCTGCAGTCTTCATCAGAACACCAGAAGAGTATTTATGACCGATTCGCCCGCGGCCCCACTTATTCGCCTGGTGACTATGTCTGGCTCCATCGACCATCCGTCCCTGCCGGTTCGTGTCCAAAATTCTACGCCCCGTGGCAAGGACCCTACGAGATCGTACAGCACCGACCCCCCACAACGTATGTCCTGCGAAATCTGCAACGCCCTCAAGATAAGCTTATCTCAGCGCATTATAACCAGCTGAAACCACATCACCCTCGCAGCCGCCGCCCGCTACAAGCTACGTCGATGTACGAAACGATGGAGGCAGTGCATACCCCATACCACCGACAGGTACTGAGGACGGTGCCCCCAGAAGGGAGGAGGCGATGTAATGGAATAGAAACCACCATAATGCCACTAAATAAGTCTCTTTTTCAGAAAGAAACGCTGACGTGGCTTTACTGGAACAGGAGGAAGACCGTTTATCTAGACTTGTTATAAATGATGATAATTAGCTTGTACCCCGATTAATAAACGCCTCTTCTTTGTCTTCTTCCTTCGTCAGTTGTGGCTGTGGTCCGTGTGTGTTACAGTAAATGTCAACATCAGGGTTCCTGTCAGGTCTTAAGCGTCTTCCCAAACTCGTTGTATTCGATCTTGGTAAGAGTAACAGTCAAGCTTCTAATTATACAGATTTCACGCTGTGGCCATTATGGTGTGAACACCATGTATCACCTCCATTTGTGCGAAAGTATGACTTTATTTAGAATTCTACAACTGTGCTTCACTTTACCAGAAAAAATGTAATATATGACTCATATAAGAAGATACTTGATGTCTATACAGATTCAGAGAAAATACTTCGGTGAGTTTTCTGTTGTGAAAATACTCATGTTGTCGTTCAGTGTCATCAAATCGTCAACCACAGTGAAACTGGCTTGTGCTTCACGGTAAGGACTTAACTGTTGGTGATGTGTATCGATTCAGACAAGGATTAATGTAGTGGTCTAAATGAGCAGTTAGCCTACGACGGAATTCGACACATTGAATGACCCATCGCCTATAGGGTTCTGCAGTGTGCCTTAAGTCTGCCGTAAAAAGTCTGCAATGCGCCTGAAAAAAGTGCTAGCTGGGTAAGTTGTATATATATAAGTAAAAAGTAGGGTTAAATAGACAAACTGTAGGGTAGTTTTGTGATAGGATAATGCAATAGAAATGGTGAGATTTTGGGTAATAAAACCAAAACTGCGTTTTCTGGAGTCCTCATAGTCGTCTTCATCTCCTTGAAGATTCTGTGGTTTCCCTGATAATCAACCTCGAGATTCCTCAATTTCCCTCTGAAACTTCCCTACATCAAGACCACCTTGTTTCAGTACCTATCAGCGATAAATGAACAACTGAGACTAAGTAATATTTTAGAGATATTTTTATTAAATAGGCGCAATATTCGCTCTTCCTGAATGAAACTAACTTAATTGTTTCTCTTCATGGTTTAGATTCGGATGATAAGAATGTGAGGCCGTTGTGGCAGTATATACCCCTGAAAAGATCTAATTTCTCTTTGAAAGGGTTCACCGATGTAGCTGGTACTACTTGATCGGGTAAGGAGTTCCAGTCACTGACTAGTCTTTAAGGGAATCTAAATTCCATACACTATACTCGTCCACGGTTTTAGCGACTTATTATGGTGACCCCACAAATGCATCCTAGAGGGAGAGAAGAGATTAGATGCTGGTAGGTAGATACCGATTCCCTGTTCCCTTCCCAAAAGATGGGGTTCATAATTGTATCCTCCCAGTTCCTGGTGGAAATGTTCTTCGTGACGCCCTCGCCAAGTACCAAACCCATAAATAAGAGCTGACTTAACATTGGTGTTGAAAATTCGAATTTTGTTCTTTATGCTTAGTACAGGCTTCCAAAGTGATTTGAAAGTGATGAGTGTCCGCTTTGCCACTGCGAATCTGTTTTTGACATCCTTATCCGTTCTCTCTACCTGTATTTGAAACGGTGCTTTCTAGTAAATTTAGAGGAAGTGACCTCTTTCAAATTTATTCCGTTGATAGTGATTGGTGCTCTGGGAACCATATAGCCTTTTATATCCTAATAGGAAGTTATTTAAATCTATTTTCATAGAGGCACAAAAATGTTTGCATAACTTAGAGCAGCTTAAAACACATGTGCAGAAAGTTAGTCGCTGAAAATTGAATTACAGTGGTAAAGGAAGGTGTGGGTTAACAGTCCGAAAAGCAGCGGGACTTGAAAAGAACAAGAAAATGTTGTATTCTCTGACCTTCCGTATATATTACGCTATTGGATCTAACTCTGTCCGGAATTTTTGATGGCCATGTCGAAATAAGTAAACGCATATGTTTTATTTGCGGAAAACTGCATGATTTGTGGGATAAATTAAAACAGAGATAAGAGAAACATTATGGAAACGATGATGAAGGAATGAATATTTTACTGTCATCTTTGACTCCTACTCGTTTTCGAACTACATTAGTATTCATATAGCATAATTATACGCAAATTTAAATATCATTTCCCATCAGTTTTCTAGAAATCTTAGAGAAGAGAATAAGGCGTCTTTTGTGGATAAATAGTGCAGAAATCTCTTCACTTAGAGGATTTCTGGGGAGTAGAGAGGTGTTTTATTCCCTCTAAGTTTCCCCATTTCGTTGTGGATTAATTCGCCTCATAATTATCAAAAAGTCACCCTGTTATATACCGTTTTTCGCGAGATATCTTTATTGTATTTCGATGGAACCGGCCAAAATGATTTCAAAGAGAACAAGCGTATTAGCTTCTTCTGGAAAATACTGTTTACAGAAGCGTAAAAGTGTTGAACATGAACATCTTTATTCAAAATATTGTATGAATAACAGCCAGCTGTGTATTGGAGTTCATTTAAATGATTGTAGTTTAAGTGTCGGTAGCTAGTGGATTTGCGGTTACCGTTGGGAAATATCTTCTATGACATAGTTTGAGGCACTCATCCGGATGACAGCTTTCCCCTAAATTGGTGAACAGCATTCATTATCAGTGATAAACCCCCTTATCTGTCGAGCCTATAACTTGACGCCTAAAGGTCATTCGTCCGTTTGTTCGCTTAGATCACTCTATTCTTTAACCTCGTCTCAATTCACAATAAGCATAATTAGTAATAATAGTAATTCGGAAATTCATCATTGCTATTATTATTCCCTTGGGTTCCAAGTGGAACATAGAGCTTCAGTACCACATCTCCGCTTACGTGTTCAGTCCTTTATATCCGGCTCCACGATTCTACGCTAGCCTTCATTTACCCCTCACATGATCTCGTCCATGTAACCCTCGCAAATACGCCTCACCCGTCACTTCCCACTTGGTTTCCACTTGCGAGGCTACCTGGAGCATGATGTCACTCAATGGTCTCTTCAACATTTGTTCACTCCATTTCCATTCCTTTCGGCATATATGTTGAGCGATCAGTTATTGGTTAGTTCGTTTCCGGAGTTCTTTTTCGTTGGTCATCTGAAGGAGGTAGTCTTGATGGTATTAGATGGTTGGAGGCAATCGGCAGGAAGTCTTGCCTGACCTAGGTTTCGTGCTAGTTGGCACTCACCAGTCAGCAAGGCGTATCTGCAACCTTGAAGGAACTCATGAGATTTGAACGTGAGCCACCTAGTGCTGGTAAGGTGAGGTCTCTAACTGCAGCACTGGGTGGCTCAGGTTCGAATCTCAGAAGGGACATGAGATCCTTCAAGGTTGCAGATACGCTTTGCTGACTGATGAGTGCAAACAAGCAGGACACCTAGGTCAGGCAAGGCTTCCTGCCGATTGCCTCCAACCATCTAAGGTATTATTATTATTATTAACTAACATTCTCCTCGACTACACTTGGTTCTATTGACTCACATTGTTTTCCAAATGTCTATGAATGATATTTTATTATGTGATTGTGAAGTCTGATGAGAATTTACCGATTATACGTATTAGTTTGTTTTAATCGTGTTCTGAAAGTAAATGCTGCATATTGTTAGGTACTCATTAAATTTTTGAAGAAGTATTACAGGACTATTTCAATTTTTAGAAGATTTTCTAGCTATATTTTGCAAATACTTGTCACGGGTCTTCCATGAAATCTAACCATTGGCAATTAATGCGAATCCCCACAGAACACAATTTTGATATCAGTTCCCAGCTGATTAGTGACTACTAGCTGTGAATGTCCTGAAAGTTGTAGTAAGAAGTTGTGATCAGTGTGGTTCACCGTGTTAGGGTGAAGTGTGTTGGATGGACATCGATGACACTGATTGCTAGTCGTGCTCATACCGCGAATTGACAGAGGCTAGACTTCACGATCCAGGTCAAGTGTCTGTCTGGTTAAATTAGTCGATCTATTGACCTGAGGACTGCGAAATCGACCCGTAGCTCTAGATGGAGTCGTCTCCAGAGTAGGATGAAACGGCTAGCTGTCCAGTGCTTGTGTACTGTTTTCAATGATTCTCTAAGTGATATTCATATCTGATGAGAAATTCGTGCACAGAAATTGATTAATTGTCAAGTAGCTTTGTAGAAACCATAAAGTCAACTAGGTAGCTAGCTGGCTGGCTAGTTAACCAACCTGTTCAGTTAGTTTAAGAATTGTAATATTTAGCAATGTGATGAAAAGTTAAATGCTGCATGCCCATGTCTCTCTCTGTCCCTGTCTCTCTTGTATTCATCTACCAGTACTGCTGCAATCAGAGTGGCTGAACAACTCTTACAAATTCTGGGCTGGTCAGATCTATTTGATTATAAGGCAATATATCCTGGTTGCAAAATTACCCATTTTAAAAGGTATGTTTCGCATAATCACTATAATTATCGTTATTCTTATTCCCCTCAGTTTAAAATATATCTGACACTCATCATTGTCGAGCTGGGTAGTTATTTATTTTCTTCCATTCTTTTGTAGATTTCATAAATTGTCTGGTATAGAGTATGCAGATATGGTGTTTTTGATGATGAAGAACGTAATATCAACGATATCAGTCGATTAGGTGTACAATGTCATCTAGTTGAACGTGGGATCACATGGAATCTCTTTGAACAGGCTTTAAAAGAGTTTGAACGTAAAGGCAAACAAACAAACATGCACACACCCATCCACTAAATGACTGTTGAACTCTCGTTAATTTCCTATAATAAGATGAATGATCAGTGCGATCATCTATGTACATCTGATCAAGTTCAATTTGTTGTGTTGTGTCAGGCGATGAGGTACTTTCTTCTCATTGTAGCCTTTGTATATTTTTTAATATTGAATAAAAGATTTTGTAAATCAGGCTGTCTTTGCTTTCTTCCTATGCGAAAATGTACAGGAAAGCAAACAAACTAGTTGGCTTGTTGTTTAAGGATATTATTGTTATTCGTCTCTACCTGGAGCATAGGCCCCTGTCGTAGTGCATCCGCATTGTATTCTATCCTTTGCGATGTCTTGTTTTAGCTGGCTCCACGACTACACCTACACACACAACGATTCATTTCCTTGTTTACCTTTGATCTGATCTTCTGCTTCATCCTTGTACACCTACCTACACCCAACTCGTCGTCTTCCATGCGAGTTTCATTTTGACGGCCTGGTGTGTGTGTGGTGGTTTCAGTGAACAGTCTTCTTAGAGTGTGTATCGAATAGATCTGCATATTTCTCGGGTGATAGGTTATCGGTTGTATCGTTCCCGGAGTTGATTGTTGTGAACCCTGTCTTGGCAATTTTACTTCATCAGTAGAGAGCTTAGGAGACAGATATTGATGAAAGTCTATAGTAACCTGTGCTGATGTGTTTCAGATGGCTCACGTATCAAGTCTCTGAGTCATACAGAAACAATGATTGACTTGACATCAGTTTTGAAAAGTCGGAGTTCGATAGATTCCATCAGGTTTCAGAGTAATAACCGTCGGTATTGTGTTTCAAGATCCAAATTCGAAGTGTTAAAGTTTGAAAAGATTTGGGTATCGAATATATGCTATATTCATTAGTACAGAAGTTTTTTTATTTGCCAATGAATGAAAAACAAAATGATACTGTGATTGTTTTTACTGACGGTTTGCTATTAAGTGCTGGGCAGTGAATAGTAATAATAAACCAGAACTTACAAAATTTCAGTTCATATATCGCAAGTGAATCATCGTCAATCAACATGGGATAATTTTTACGTTGTCAGGTTGGCCAATTGGTAGGGATAACAAAACCATCATGTGTAGATTGTTCTGTTTGATAAACGTATAAAATTATAAAAGCAGCGTGTGTTTACATAATGAAACTGCCTATCACATTCCTGTAGACTTTGTCATTCCATGTGGGTAGGTGGGTGGTTGTTTCAGCCAGTTCAAATTCTGTTTTAGTGTTTTACTTCCATTCAGACAATTTCGACTCCATTTAGTTACATGAAGTGCTCCTGATGTAACGAGACATTCTTTATGATTCCTGAAATTTTTCTGGATTATTTCAGTATTGTCAAAATCAATTTTATGACCTGATTTCATGCAGCGTGTAGACGACCCATGTGTGGTGATTTTACTTCAAGCCTTTCTAGTTGACTAACTGGATTTCTCGGTGGTCGAACAGAAGAGGCGGTTCTGTGATGTTCATTTCTTCCGATTTCGACGTTTATCGTGTATCACACATTCCAAGCACTTTATTTTGGAGACAATTTGATTGAGAATCCCTTGGAATCTCGTCTTTCACATAGACTATGTTGTTTTGAACTGTGTTTTTCATGTTTTCAAGAAGACTCTGATTTCGTGCTTAATGATTGCTCTTCTGATATCGTCTGACGTTTGAGATATATATGGGCGCACTTCTTTGGAATACGTTTCCGACCATATTTAATGTTGGTGTTGATTTTGTTGTTGAAGTTCTTTGGGTGGCTATTTATTCTTCAGAATCTCAGTAATGTTTGATATTTCTTCTTCTTTCTCCTTCTCATCCGAAAGCATCAAATAATGAGCTTGTCTGACACGCTTGCGGTGATGAGGTGTGATTATTCAAAGTTAAAATATTTGTTGTTGAAGTGGGTTTTCTTCCTGAATATATGGATATAGATATATTGAAGTATCTGTTTTCTTTCCTCTTAACTAGGCTAGTCAGTGTAGAAATGGTAGTTCACTGAAGTTTGATTCAGCCCACTACCGAAGCACATTGGATTCTGGGAGATAGATTGCTCAGTTTCTCCAAGAATAAATTGTGTAGAGCTCGTTTTAGCAATAACAACATCAAGGTGTTGTATCTCAGTCATATTTTAGACGTGAGTATGCTTAAAAAGATATTATCCTGAAATGTATTCATGAAAGATCCAGCGATTATTGGGAAAACTGGCTGGGTATCTCTACCATCCTTGTCTTCCGTATGTTCTTCTCTGTCATCAGTTCTCCTTCTGACAACTTCTTGGATTTCGCCTGTATATTTTTGAGTTTGCGTGATATTAGGTATAAATTATCATCAAAACTTCTAGAGGGTCTTTTTTGTCAGTACAAAATATGCAGGTCTTCTCATCACTCTCCACGAACAGTCTTCCACATAGTTAGAAGGATTCTGTAGTGGTTGTTGATACAGTAAGTGTTGGTGTTTGTTCACGTGGTATTTTGTGCTCGTATCTACTTGCAATCGTTGTTCACAAATTCATGTCATGAGAATTCTTACAATAATGTTTAACAGTATATAAATTGATGATGCGTTCACCTTATAATGTTTTCTCTATTACCCTTCAAACAATTAAGTATGAAATGTTATTATTTATAACCATTGCATTTTCAGGTAATTTGCAGTTAGCCGATGAGAACCTGTGAAATAGAATGATGGTATCATTTTATACTGCAAATCCAGTCTTTCTTTCTCTATCGAAATTTATCAAGGGAACCAAATGTATGAAATAATGTCTCCCTTTGCTGCACTACGAGTGTCTTCAGAAGTCGTCTGTATTCGTCAATCAATGGTATTTTTGAAAAAGGATTAGTAACTAGGGTTATATATACACATATGCATCTTCAATGCTGAAATTGGTCGTTATGCATTTCATCATACATGTCATTTCGTGGTGATATGCTCACAAACCACGGAAGTGGTCGGAGTTCGACTCCTGACCAATGGGGTACTCGTAAACCTCTTCTGGTTTACTAACCCCGGAAAGAGATAAGAGTGGTGTAAGCCTAGCGGTCATTCTTCGTAGAAAGCGAACCTACTGCTTCTACGAAACTAAAAGAATAAAGGCGTATATTCCACTGCAAATGCAAGGTATGCCATTTGATACGCTTCTTCTCATTATCAAGTGTTTGGTAAATAATGAGTTCAAGCTGTTTGACCTCTTTAATGAAGGCTCTGTGGGACATGTTCAAAGGATCTGAACCTCATAGTTCACGCATCAAACGGAAGTCGATTTTCTGCTGACCATTATTATATCTGCTTATTTACATTCTTCTCTGCCATATTTGTTGATGAAACGTTTTGTGGGTAGCGATTCTCTTCCAGGCGTTTCTCACACAACATAACTTCACTGTTCACATTTTATTTTCCTCTACAGAACAACGTCTTGTCCAGCGTTCGTTTATGGCTGACTGGGTAAAAGATGTTGAAATTCATACAGAGACCAGTCCATGGTTCCTTGTGAGAAATCGATTATCCATGCATTGGTCTCTCCAAGTTGAAATCTGAGGAGTTGAATCTATCACCATCTCCGTCTTTCCATTGTGGAAGTGATGCTTCCCATGAACATTGTTAAAAGATAATGCAGTCTGATACGAAGCATGGCTCAGATTATTGCTTACAATCGATGTGTTGTCTACATACTCAAGGTAAGCTGTTGCTTCATCAACTGAACACACACACATACACTTAAGCTGTGTCTGTTCAACGGTAGCCATAAAAATATCTGCTGATACCAGACTGTTCGCCAATCTATCAATTCGGCACTACATTTTGTTGCCGAACTGGAACTGTATATTCTTGTTACATGATAAAAGAAGTTGCCTGAATTCAGTTTTGGTTGAATGAAGATCAGCATGTTGTCAGATGATGTCTAAATTTTCAAGTAAAGAGGTGATTTTGTGAACGAGGAGGTCAGTTGAATGCTGAAATTATTCGTTATGCGTTTAACCATGAATGTTAATTGCACGCAGTCTGAGTTCGATCGCCGGTTGATTTAATACCTCTACTGGTTTATTAAACGATAAAAAGACCGAAGAAGATGGAGTGTTGTAAGTTAAGCTGGCAGTCCTACTCCGGTCGAAAAATGACACCATTGATACTGACACTTGCAAAGATTGTGGGAATGTCATTTGATGCAAGATAATGACTTCACTAGCCTTATAGTGTGTTCCTTGCGTTTCTTTATTGCCTATTCGGCGAGTAGCAAGATCGACAATTTTTGGATTGAATTTGTGTAGTTGTCCCATGGCGACATCATGATTGTCGATAATCTAATATATTTAAGATGGCGTCGAAAATACTGTTTCGAACAAGAATTAGTTTCGCCTTTTCCACATAGGTAGGATTCAAGCAAACATGAAAGGTTTCTGCACACGTATGGTTGCTGATTTCGTTCCCTACTTTGTTATATTATTTATTATCGTAATATATATCTAAGTAGCCTTCCAAGCAACTCCTCATATGATCGATTGCGTATACATACTCAGGCTAATCCTCTGCTGGGTTGAATTCGATTAGTGCATCAGTGAACTTTGTTAACCTTTAAAATCTGTACACTGGATCTGTTTTTCAACGGTAGTTTCATAAAGTCGACTTACTAATAGTAATACTTATAATAGTTTTATGTTTCCCAAAAGGCTGAGACTGTCATAGGGAGTTTCAGCTAAATTCAGACACGTTAAAATAATAAATGTCTCTTGATTAAACCAACGAAATTATACGACAGCTACCTATTTCCCTAATCCGCACTAATTAAGCGGGAAAACACAACGATGTGAGCCGCCGACTGCATCTCACTCAGTAATGTATAGTTCAAAATACAATCAATAATATGACAATTAGTCTGTAATCATGACC